AGCAGTTGATTACATAAGCAACTATAATACGAGTCGTCAACTGATAGAACATTTCAATTATTGTATTTAGGTATAAAATAAAATAATTTATCTACTTTGTAATATAGTAAAAAGTAATATGACATGTATATAGCCTTCTAAACACACTGATGTAATTATTACAAGTTGATGAAATAACTTTTACAAATATTGTAAGCTATTTGTATAGATAGTCTAAGTATGACACACATATTATATACTTATAGTATACTTTTATTGAGATAATAGTGATACAACAAGTGCTCTTACACTATTATATACATTAATATACCTTTTGCATAAATTATAAGGTAACAATTATTATTCTTATATTCTTATATTGTAAATATCACCCTTTCTTTGAAATTATAATAAAAATGTAATGCAAGCATAATACTTTAGGCTATTATACAAAGTTAGTATAATACTTGTAATAGATTGTATTCATCCATAACACTTACTTAGCCTTTATATACATTAACATGTCTATTACAAACTTTACAATTGATTTGCAAGTCTTGTAATTACTTTACAATATATATACAATACTTATGTTACTTTACAAAGTCTACAATATATTATAAGAAATGTGACTTTTTCCTGATGTATGCATACAACCTCGGATTCAAGGCTCTGAAGCAAATGCTGTAGGTCGCGTTGAATATCGTCTTTCTTATCAGTCAAGTTGTCAACTACAGGTTCAGATCCATGCTTCACCTTTGAAGGACTTGAGTACTGACTTGTCTAGGCGTGGATCTAATGCTCATGGTGGTGGTAGATGATGGTTAAAGAAGCGGATTGCTTCTATGTTTGGAGGTGCGAACTTTAAATACTCTCTCATCTGAAGCAAAGTGCAAAGGATGAATTATATTGGATAATATACTAATGGCCTAAAATGTATAAACAAGGGGTAATTACTTTGCATTCATTCTTTATACTACCAATCAATAGAGGCTTTCAAGTGCTATCTCACTTTGAAAACTTTACTATAGTGATGTAATCGAGTCTACGTCCGCCTGGCAATTACGAAGGAAGCAGTCAACAAGAGTGGCTAGATGATACATTCGTCCATGTATCCAGGCTAATTATGTATAGCAACCTCTGCTAACTACTAAACGTACCTGCCATGTCTCCTAACCTCCATTTCACCTGATAGGTCGGTTCATCCAGACCGTTATTGAGCTGCCCTTCGACACCACATCAGGAAAATATCTCAAACTTTGTATTAGCTTATATGCATATAAATTATATAAAATTTCTACATTTTGTAAAAGAGCTTATTGTGTACCTAAGGGTTTTGGAAAGATAATAAGAAGCTGAGAAAGCTATTAAAAGGTCTTGACTATCTGGTCAAGAATGATAAGAATTGTAGTACTTACTAAGATATACAAGTGCTTAAAGTGTACCTCACAAAATGGCTAAGTATTATAATACTTGTCATTTTAACAGGGAAAACATATGTATATAAGATGTATAAGATAAAATTTTGCTTATAGCCGTTTGTTATTAAAATAATAGTTTATAATTATATTAAAATATTGTATAAATACATTATTATCTACAACAATTAGGGAAATAATCTGATGACAGATGGCGAGTGTGTTGACAATAGAGAACAAATGTATTCCTCAGCCGTTTGAGGTAGTCTTTGTCACCATGCTTTGGTCGACAGTCAGTCCCTGCAAGTTGGATTGTGTGTGGATTGTGAGATTGTACGGATTGCAGAGGTCGAGGTTACACTTGTGAGGCGGATTTGGAGGTTAACTTGCTGAGGAGGTAAAGGGTTGTTAGCAAGTGCGGGTGCTTGAAGTAAAAAGATGGATACACCGCGACGGCGTGCAGCGAGTGTGAGTGGTGCACCAGGGTTGAGATCCAGTGTGTTGAACGAACTGATTTGAGTAGCAAGCGAAGCTGTGTCTGTAAGTGCATGTTGCATGCTCTGGCTACGTCTCACAATCGGAGGTACAGTAAACTGAGCCGTTGCAGATGACTACAAAGGTGTATCTCTGGGACGTTCTGGCTCGAAGGGTGAGGGTGAAGTGGAAGATGTGGACGGATTCAACTCATCTTGGATAGGTGTGAGCAATGGGCCACTGCTTCTGTTCAATGTGGTGTCATGCCCAGCACGGAGGAATGCAAATGCATACAGTGTGGGCCTACCAAGAATGATGTCAAGCATTGCACGGGTGGGGAAGGAGAGCACATACCGAGTAAGAGAAGGGGTGGCACAATGGGAGTAGACATACATGGACATTGTTGCGAGCGTGTGCTCGTCGATTGTTGCTTGCACTGTAGAGCAGGAAGAAGTACGCGAGTGCATGGGATTTTTGAAGAATTCGCTCGGCATTGGTCGACAATGCAGATGCGAGAATATGAATGCAAAATGGAAGGCAGTGTAGAAAGGAGGACAACGAAGGAGAGGCAACACAATCGGCGGAATGGAAGGGAGACAAAAAGTTGGGAGGAAAGGGATGAGCAACTATTGTGCACGTTATTATGAAGTGGACCGGCTGCTTACACTTTACGTTGAGACTGGGAGGGGGCGGTGTAGTCAGCTGTGCAGGATCTAGGACTCAGTGCAGGCATCGCAACAGCAGATTGTAGAGACGAGTGCAGCGATGTTTATTGTCTACGTTGTTGAAGGCGGAGTGGCAGCTGGTAGGACGCTTGCAAGTGGAGGAAGACTGGAGAGAACAAAGCAACGACATAGTGGCAGGGCAGAGGGTTAGACTTAGAGAGATGGTGGACGCTCAAGAGAAACAGTGGCACACATAAGTGCGTCATTATATGCTCTCGATCTTCAGCAGTTGATTACATAAGCGATAGTACATTCCAAATATTGTATTTAGGTATTAAATGAAATTGTTGATCTACTTTGTAATATAGTGAAAAGTAATATAATGTGCATATAGCTTTCTAAACACACTAATGTAATTATTACAAGTAGATGAAATATCTTCTACAAATATTACAAACTATTTGTATAAATAATCTAAGTATAATATATATATTGTATACTTATAGTATACTTTTATTAAGATAATAACAATACAACAAGTGCTCTTTGACTATTAAATACATTAATATACCTTTGTATAAATTATAAGGTAACAATAGTTATTATTACATTATTATATTATAAATATAACTCTTTCTTTAAGATTATAATTTAAATATAATACAAGCATAATACTTTGGGTTATTATACAAAGTTAGTATAATACATATAATAGATTTTATTCATCCTTAGTACTTATGTAGTCTTTATATATATTAATATGTTTTATCTAAACATTATAATTCATTTACAAACATTACAATTACTTTACAATATATATACAATACATATACTACTTTACAAAGTCTATAAGAAATTACAAGAAATGTGACATTTTCCTGATGCACCAGCTTTGCATACATCCTGCTACAAGTAGATTCGATCTTTGTATCAATGTATCAGTCTTTGTCTTTGCTCAACCTCTTGAGTCCTTCTGAGAACTTATTAATAACTACTTGTACAATAGTTAGACATTCAATTGTACATTTTACACTTATTTGTGCTGACTTTGCTTAACCTAGATGGTACTTTATCTTTCAGCTGTTAGACAACTGTTAAAGTATAGTTGTACTTCTTGAAGGTTACTTTACTTTAAGGATTTTAGGTTTTAATACCTAATAATTACTGTCCATATTTCTAACAAGAAGGAAGCAAGAAGGAGAACTCATGCTTAGTACAATTGTAGTAGAGTTTCAGTAATACACATACAATTTACTATGTTAGAGAATGTATGTACTAGTGTCCTTTTCTACTGTACAAACAAAGGCTACTCATTACTTATAACAATGTAATTAACTTTAGTCACAAGAGTTAATAAGTACTACTGTATAGTAATCTTTATTACTAGTAAGAAATACACATATTTATTGTTAGTAAGAGATCTATAATAACTACTAAACATGTAACTCATTTCTTCTTTAATTTCTTTCCTATCTCTTTCTCTACCTTATGTTAGCAACAGTATAGAGGACCTGAAGGCTCAGTAGGAGGACTTAAGCTACAACTATCCTATATAACAGAAAGGTTAGAATGTAAGTACTAGAACAGATGCAGAACTTGTAGATTAGTTAGATAGAGAGTGTAGGACAAGTATAGAGTATATAGAGTAAGCCTAAGAGTACAGGACTACTTAGAGTAGACAAGATTAAGATTATAGAACTAGTCTAATCTTATACATGTATATATACTAAACTATATAAGAGTACTTAGAGAAGGATAAATTATAAAGAATGAAGAATGAAAAGGTCAAAGATATACAAACAAAGAATAAAGGGATGAAAGAGTAAAGGGTAAGAGACCTTAGAATGAATAAAGAATGAAAGAGTAAATAAAGGAAAGGAGTAATAAGGTAGAAAGGAATAGTAGTAGAGGTTACTGTGTAAATTAGTCTGTATATAGTTTATATACTATACACTTAAGAGACAGAAGTCCTGAGTTTCAGGACAGAAGGTGACAGAACTGACAGAACTGGAGAGCTTAAGAGTAGTAGACTATAACATTACCCTCCTTCTAAAACAATCATCCTAATTAGTAAACATTAGGCTTAGTTAGTAGCTTAAACATAAGTTAGAACAATAGAGTCTGGAAATCTATAAGACAGAGCTAGTATAGAGTACCTGAATAAAGTTAGTAGAAGTTCTGGATTATATTAGTAGTATAAGTAAGATTCTTAGCAGGTTCTTAAGTATGTTCCTTAACTAGATACTCTTTCTAGTAGACAAGGAACTTAAGCTTTCTATATACTAACTTAGTATTAGTCATATATTCTACTTTGTATTCTAGTTCAGAACTAACAAGTTCTAGTAGAGATGGTGAGAGTCTTTATTATAAAGGAAAACTTAAGTTATAGTACTAAGACAACAGAACCTTGTTAAATACTAAATGTATATACTTTTAGGTTACTAAGAGTTAAAGTTTGTAAACAGAGGTACTAACTTTCTTCTTAATAACAAAGGGTCTAAAGTACTTGTTGTCCAACTTCTTTATCAGACAATCTATAGTCAAATTAGTAGCTTCTAGTATTACTTTGTTACTAGACTAGTAATTCTTAGCTACAGACCTCTTCTAATTATAGTTCTGTTTTATAACCTATACTGTCTACTCTAAAAAAGCTTATACATCCTCCCTAGTCTTATACATCCACTTAGTAAAATCTGTTACAGATTTGGAACTCCTGTTCTGACTCAGAATAGTCTCTTAATATAAATGCCTTCTATAGTTGAGAAAGAATAAGGACTGTTCTGTAGTAGAGTACTACTAGTTATTGTGTACAAATTCTGCTTATACTAACTATTCAGACTAATCTGACTACTAGTAATTAATGAACATTCAGAGGTAGAGTTCAATCTCCTAATTGACTTACTCAGTTTAACTATTAGTCTATAAGTAATATATAGTAGAGGGATTCCTTTAAATTCTAAGAAGTGTGTACAGGTCTTACATGAATTTTGACTTGAATTATAGTCTACAATTATGAATGAGCTTCTAAGGGAGTCTGTACAACCAGAAGACATAGTCCTAATAAATATACACTATACTTTCAGAAGTAAGTTCTATTTAGATCAGAATTGTATAGACTTGTTTAAAGAAGTAATTAACAATTGTACAGATAGTATTGTAACCCTAACACTTAGATAGTTTACTAATCAGGTCTACTAAGACTTCTTCCTAAGAGTGATTTAGAATCTGATACAGATATAGAGGAGTCTAAACTCTTGTCTAGTAGGACTTAGTTTGTTAGTATATATTACAACTATTTACATACTTTAGAATCTCTCTCTGTATTCCTAACTACTAGTAGTTCTGAGTAATAAGTTCCTGTGTTTTGTGTCTGTCTGAATGTCCTACTGTCAGATTGTTATAATGAGTCTAAACAATATCCTCCTATAGCTTCTAATTCTTCAGAATGTACATTTAGCTTTCCTAGTAGACTCATTCATTCTTATCCTCCTCCTAGTCTCTAGTCTACTTCTCTAGCTACTTTACTACAACCTAGTTCTGTGTGTGTCTCAGAGCTTACTGTATGTAAGTAACAAATTCAACATTCTTAGACTCAAGTTAGATCTCTTAGATTGTCTCAGATACAAAAAGGGAATTGTTAAGAAGAACAAGATTTTTGTTATTATTCTCTCCCCTTTCATAACCTACTTGTCTTAAGAGTAGATTAGCTTTTGTTATTTGCTTTCTAGGTTTGTAGGTCAGTATAAATTTATAGTTCTACAGTTCTAGCATTTAGTAGGCCTAGTGGTAGTTAAGCTTCTAAGGTGCTTAAAAGTATTAGAAATTAAGATAATCACTCTAAATCTCAAACTTCTGAGTAGTACTAAGGAGATATTAATACTACTCCTCTAGAAAACAGATAATTATAAAGAGTTCCTTATTATAAATAAGGTAGTTCTGTTTAGTTACAAAGAGGGATTCTAATTATAATACTATTAGACACTACTTTCCCTCAATAAACTAAAACAATACTACTCTATTTGTAAAGTTAGAAGAGTTAGCTTTGACCCAGAACTTGTTTAGAACTGTTAGAACTACTAATACAGGCTTACTAGTAATAGTCTACTTAAGGGACTCAAAAGTAGACTGTTTCTAAACATTCTATTACTACAGAACACCTTTGCTAGTAAGATTGTGAAGAGGCCAGACAATAGTACTGAAGCCTTAAATGAAGTACTAGTAGTAGTTTATAAACTTAAGGAACACTTAAACCTGTTTCAAGTTCTAAGATTGTAGCTAGTTACAAACTACAATTACTTTTGTCAGATCTATACAGACCTCTCCCCCTCTAATTATAAAGCTTAGATAATCTACTGACTCCTGTGTAAAAGAACACTTTACTTCTTAGAGGAACAGTTTATTATCTTAGATTTACTATAGAAATGCTTAGATTAGTTAGTAGTAGTACTTGTAAGATATACTCACTTTACTAGTCCTAATCCTTAGAAATAGTAACAGAATAGAGTATAGAGGGTAAGACTTATAGACTTGTAGAGTGAGAGGGTAGAGGAGTCCTACTTTAGTCAAGCTGTAAGTGTAGCCTAGTAGGTTAGTAGTAGAGTACTTCTAAGTACTAAGTAACTTAAGTTGATAAAACTATCTTTTGAGAGCTAAACTAGTCTCCTTATATATATTTTTACTAGAGTAATGTTACTCTAGTAATTTTAGTAACTCTCTTTACTGTTGTTCCTATAAAGTAGAGCTGGCTAATTCTTTAGACTGTATACTATACTGGTTTGTGTCTTCTATTAATCTGTTAACACTAGTTTGTGTCTTCTTGTATTCTAGAT